CAAAAAAAACAGTGGTGATTAAATTTCACCAGAAGAAAGCTCTATCTGCTACAAATGTCATATGGGTACAGTGTTGCATGACCGCACAATTGCCATTCAAAGTGTGACAGCGCTGAAAGCTAAAAATTAGCCTTGGCAGGAAGGAGGTAAAAGTGCCCGGTATTGAAGAGGTTAAACTAGAATTTGGAGGACATACAGAATCACACAGAAAGGCAAATCCAAGTTTAGCCGGAAAACGTTTCATGTGATAACAAAACGGAGCCACCAGTACCTTGCTGTGAACATTACCGAGCTGATAAATGGAAGCAGGATGAATGTGAAAATTAGCCGGCTTCAATGTGACCACGGTAAAGTGCCCACTGGGGGCCACTGTCCTGTCATCCCCGCCATGTTTACAGGCAGACAGAAGTCCTGGTGGAGTTTGGTTGATGTATTACAGGACTGATTTCCTTGTCTCCATTTAAGCAGCAGGTTCTTCTATCTAATGGGAAAGTTAGGAAGTGGGATTAAGGGAGACAGCGATAGAGGAAAAGATTTATTAAGCACATGATCTTGAAGACACTAGACAGATAATCTCCTAATTTAGGAAGTCGGAGAAAATAAGTTCTTAGTAATTGCGAACTTCACACCCAACTGGAGAAAAAGTAAAAAGATGTCAAAAAGCATGTCTTGTCATTGTGATTCAACATATGATCCGCTAGCAGTAGCCTGACCAATCCCACGGCATGACCAACAAATATCGTAGGCTATTTATAAAAGCATATGAGAGCCCAGACACTGAAATCTCATTTAAGCTTCCACATGTTCCTGACATTTCAGACGTAGTTTTTGATATCTTAAATTTGCAGGTATTCATTTACCACTTTGGAAGGTTTCACCCCCTTCATGACCAGGGCATTTTTTTTTGCTATTCAGCACTGCGCTACTTTAACTGGCAATTGCTCGGTCATGTAACACTGTACCCAAATTAAATTTATATTTTATATATTTCAGGTACTTATATAGCACTGTCAATTTACGCAGCGCTTTACACATATATATATATTGAACATTCACATCAGTCCCTAACCCTCAAGGGGTGCACAATCTAAGGTCCCTAACTCACATTCATACATACACATACTAGGGCCAATTTAGACAAGATCCAATTAACCTACCAGCATGTCTTTAAAGTGTGAGAGGAAACTGGAGCACCCAGAGGAAACCCACACAAGCACAGGGAGAACATGCAAACTCCATGCAGGAGGTGCCATGGTCAGGAATCGACCCCATGACCCATTTACTGCAAGGCAGATGTGCTAACCACTAAGCCACTGTGCCACCCCAATTAAATGTATATCATTTTTTTCACACAAATAGAGCTTTTTTTGGTGGTATTTAATCACCACTGTTTTTTTTTTATTTTTTTGCTATATAAACAACAAAATACTGGAAATAAAAAAAAAAAAAAATTTTTTTTTTGGTTTCTTTTATAAAATTTTGCAAACAAATAATCTTTCTTCATACCTTTAGGCCACTTTCGCATGGGTGTTTACAGATGAAAAACAGACCCCTATGTATTTCTATGGACTTGCGGATGTAAACGGGTGAACATCTTTTTACATCCGTTAATGTCCGCATCCGTTAACATCCGTCTTTTTGAATGGAAAAAAAAAAAACTTTTTTTCTTCCGCAAAAAAAAAAAAAATGGAAAGGAAAAAAAAATGGATGTCAACGGATGTTAAGAGACCAAAAACGAATGTAAAAGGATGAAAATGGATTAAAACCGGATCATTTTTTCATACAGTGCTCTTGCAGCAGCAGGAGCCATTGGCTCCTGCTGCTGTCAATCAAATGCAGTGAGGAGGAAGTAGGGGGCGCGGCTCCATAGACATACAGTTTGGGAGCACGCAGACAAACGGCTTGCTATGGAGACACATGAAGAAAAGGAGGGGCCAAGAACGTTGATGGGGGATCCGAGAAGAAGAGGATTGGGGGTGCTCTGTGCAACACCACTGCACAGAACAGGTGAATATAAGATGTTTGTTATTTTAATAAAAAAAATAAAAATTTTACATTAATAACACTTTAAAGTAAGACCAGGGGCTGCTGTTAGAAACCACGGGCCAACCTGACAAGGCCCCCCCCCCCCCCAAAAAAAAATAAAAATCACAGTTTACTATGCTTCAGTTATGAATGAACACAGTGAGGGATCGGTACTGAGCACTCATTGTGTTCATTCAGGAAGGAAAGGGGCTGGGAAAATGTTACATATTTACAGGACCCTTCCCCTACTGTACATCCTGAAGCCTTCTGTTTATAGAACTCAAAATGTGAAGCTCCAAACTACACATACAACTGAATGAGCCCACTCCCTTATCTCTGATCCTGCTGTACAGAGCTTCAATTAGAGAATGACAGACTGGGAGGAGGCAGTTACTGTTGTGGTTTCCATTAGGAGTAGTGTCACAGATGCAATCTGTAATAAATGTTTATTTGTAATATAAATATCTTATAGAAATCTTAAAAAAAAGACAAGAAAAATATGTTGAAAAACTTGAAACCTTAAAAAATAAATGAGCCTAATTTGACCTGCAACCATTATAGTTTTCTTTTTAAATACAAAGCACAGTGGTCGTACATTAGTTATAAGGAAGGGAAACAGCAATTGCATTTTTTAATTGTGTTAAATTGCCCCAGTAGGTCTGATTAATCATGTGGCCATCCAGTATTTAATCATACAAACTGCTTACTAAATCACTTCCAAGCAAGCTTAGAAGTGATTAAAGCCTAAAATTTAAGTAACACTTAGCTGAGATAAAATGCACTTTGTGTAGAGTGCCCAGACTGCAGGGTTCAATGTATATCATAGACATTGCTGTAGCTAAACTGTCCAAAATTAGGAAACAAAATAAAATAATAGAAACAATAGAAAATAATTAGGAATGAGAGAATCCACTTATGGAACAGTGATAAGCTGCTTTGGACCAATGCTCCACGGAACCACTGTTTCCACCACTGGCTATATACAGTTGCAAGAAAAAGTATGTGAACCCCTTGGGATTACGTGGAGTTTTGCATGAATGGCTGCAACAGCACAGAATACGCCTTCTGGAGTGGCCCAGTCAGAGTCCTGACCTCAACCCGATTGAAATGCTGTGGCATGACCTTAAGAGAGCGATTCACACCAGACATCCCAAGAATATTGCTACACTGAAACAGTTTTGTGAAGAGGAGTGGTCCAAAATTACTCCAGATCGTTGTGCAGGTCTGATCTGCAACTACAGGAAACGTTTGGTTGAGGTTATTGCTGCCAAAGGAGGGTCAACCAGTTATTAAGTCCAAAGGTTCACATACTTTTTCCTCCCTGCACTGTGACTGTTTACATGTTATGTGCAATTAAACCATGGCAACATCTAATGTTTGTGTAGTATTATGTTCAGCAGACTGTGTTCTTCTATTGTTGTGACTTAGATGACGTTCAGAGCACATTTTATGCCCAATTCATGCAAAACTCCACGTAATCCCAAGGGGTTCACATACTTTTTCTTGCAACCGTATATGGACTTCACCCCTAGCATCACCTGTGACTTTCTGATTCCTTTCATGCCAATCAGAAAGGGGGACATGAACAGGCACTCCTTACTTTAACCACCTCAATACCGAGCACTTATACTCATTCCTGTTCAGGAAAAGTTTCAGCTTTCAGCACTGTCACACTTTGAACGACAACAGCGCGGTCATGCAACACTGTACCCATATGACATTTTTAGCTTTTTTTTACACAAATAGAGCTTCTTTTGGTGATATTTAATCACCACTGAGTTTTTTATTTTTTGCTAAATAAAACAAAAAACACCTGAAACTTTGAAAAAAAAAAACACAGTTTCTTCGTTTCTGTTATAAAATTTTGCAAATAAATAAAAATTTTCTTCATAAATTTAGGTAAAAATGTATTCTGCTACATTTCTTTGGTGAAAATAATAATAATTGAATTTGTATTTTTTTTTTCAAATGTTTCTATTATTTTTTTTAATTTTTTATAATAAAAAAATTTTATTTTTTTTTACAATTTTATATTTAAGCACACTGTGACCAAAGCAATACAATGTTACCATAGTAACACTGAACTACTCTGGGCAAGTGATCAGGATTTTTTTAACACATTATGATTGCTAATACCAATGTATTTTATTGATATTTGCAATCAATGTTACTGAATGAAACTGATTCATTCAGACTTTTGTTGTGAATAGCTGTGATTGGGCAACGCTGATTACATGATACAGATGGGCTGTGAATGGCCCTGTCTGTATCATGTGACTGCCTTGACCAATCACAGCTAACAACATAATTGTATACAATGGATGGCATTAATGGAAGTCATCCATTGTATACAATTGACATGTGATCTGCTGAGATTGGTCACAGTGGTCACATGACACTGGCAACAGGCCGATGTAATGATATGTCATCGGCTGTGTCCCGTGGACACAGCCGGTGACAGATCGCACCGTTGCATGGCCCCCCGTGGTAGCACAAGCTGCTCATTTTGACAGGACATCATATGACGCCCAGTCACAATGGTGAGTGTCCCACCCGGCCATCAATCTGCAATAGGCCAGGTGGAAATGTGTTAATATACACTAAAAAAGCAAAAAAGAAGGAGCACCAGCATAGCGCATTACCTTTATAACCCATTTATTGATAAAAAGAAAATAAATGTATACTCACAAATGACTGTATAACATAAGCTCATCAAAAATCAATGTTGCCAGATTCCACTTCACATGTACCCGTCTGAATTTGAAGCTGGATGGTCTCACGAGATGTCAGTTTGACCCAATGTTTCTAAAAATAGTGTTGAGCTATCACGTAAATCAGGCCTTGAAAGTTCCACTCACCTGCTCTCAAATGGCGAGTGGAAATTATGGTGGGGGCGAGTGTGTCCCCCAGGGCCGTCTTGCTGAGAAGGCTCGGAGCTCAGGCTGGATCTGTCATTGGCACTGGGAGCCGTCACACTGCTCAATAGCTGAGCGCAGTGAAAGCAAAGTAAGGAGTGTGTGCTGTGCTCTCTGCCTCCCCCTAGAGTGCAGTACCTGGCTCTGTGAGTGAACAACGAAGTACTGCAACGTTTTATAGGGATGTGTGTGTGTCTGTGTATGCATGTACATGTATCTGTGCGTATGTACATGTGTGTATCTGTACATGTGTTTGCATGTATGTACATGTATGTGTGTGTACATGTGTGTGTGTGTGTGTGTGTGTGTACATGTGTCTGTGTGTGTATGTACACAGACACATGTACACACACACACAGACACATGTACACACACATACATGTACATACACGCAGACACATGTATATGTGTCTGTGTGTGTGTACATGTTTCTGTGTGTGTGTGCATGTACATGTGTGTGTTTGTGTGTATATACGTACATGTGTATGTACAGTATGTACATGTGTCTCTGTGTGTACATGTGTCTGTGTGTATGTACATGTATCTGTGCATGTGTATTTCTGTGTATGTACATGTATCTGTGTGTATGCGTGTCTGTATGTGCCTGTGTGTGTATACATGTGTGTGTATGTGTACATGTGTCTCTGTGCGTGTGTGTACATGTTTCTGTGTGCGTATTAGTGTGTGTATGTACATGTCTGTATGTGTGTACAGGTGTCTCTGTTTGTGTGTGTTTGTTGGTGGCAAGTAACTCTTAAGGCCTGGCTCGTAGCTCAGGACTTGAAATTTTAAGCCCTGGTGTAAATCATAAATTCATAAAGTGTGCATAAATCATATTATTATCACTGCCCCTAGCTACATCGCCAACCTCACCTGCAGATATTGCCCAAATCTCCGTTCCTCCCAAGATATCTTCCTCTCTAGCTCCCTCATCACCTCCTCCCACGTTCGCCTCCAGGACTTCTCCAGAACCTCTCCCATCCTCTGGAACTCCCTACCACAGTATGTCCAGTCAGCCCCCACCCTGTCTGCCTTTAGGCGATCTTTGAAAACTCACTTATTCAGGGAAGCCTACCCACCTCCACCTAAGAACTGCACTTGAATCACCTCCACCAGATCATCCCCCGCAGCTATCACCTTTTGTATCACCTCCCCCTTCCTTTAGATTGTAAGCTCCGGGGCCCTCCTATTCCTTCTGTACTGAAATGTATTGTAATTGTACTGTCTCCCGTTATATTGTAAAGCGCTGAGCAAACTGTAGGCGCTATATAAATCCTGAATAATAATAATTAGCAAATAAGAGTCCAATAAAAAATTCTAACTCAAACGCAGATAGTCCACTATGAGTGCAAACTCTTCTAAATGTGCACCCAGCTTATACAAATAAAGCAGCTTACCAAACGTTTAAACCCCACATCTCAAGAGGTCTAGCAGTGCTTTAGGATGATAGATCCCACCTGGATGGATGGATGGATGACTGCAGCTCCCTCTCTCACAGTTGGATGTGCCTCAAGCCTGTCACACTTCAGAATGGCATGTCTCAAACAGCCACTGGATCTCTTCACATAAACTTGCCTCAGTGACAGGAAATCCCATAGTGAAGTACAGTTTAAACCGATTTATTAATAAACTTGATGGGTACTCACAAGAAAAGCAATATCAAAGAGCACATCAAGCAGCCATCAGCTCTTTGGACAGACGTGATGACGTCACCGCTAAGCTCTGCCCAGAGCCCAGACCCCTGGCATTGATGTTGGAAATATGAGGTGTGAATATTAATGAGTGCTGCAGTCAGAATTAATTAAGTGTTCTTGCATGGCAAGCCCACTTACTGTTATCTCACATATATATTCTTATTATTATAGCCAAATTTACCACCCTAACTCCTCCCACAGTTTTTACACTACATAGACAGTAATATACCGAAACGTGCAGATTGTTCCCGATTGGTGTGCTATTACTTTATGGAACGTTTCGCCGAATGGTTCACGAAATATCAGCGTTTTTGTGGTGAAATTGGTCCCATAGGAATGAATGGCAGAATGTTCAAAACTAGAGTGGGAGCTGACAAAAGCTAGAATGTGCGCTGAAAAATCAGGACATGATTTCTAAACTGCCATCACTCCCTCATTTTCAAGCCCACCTACACAAATCGTATATCAAAATGTTCAGCTATCCCTGCTGCCACTAAAAATGTCTACGGCTAAGCCATAGTCCAGATAGTTTTCACAATATGACCATTTGTTTGCAACTCATGCCGCCCATTGACATTCATTGAAACTCCACTCTAGCCACCTCAAATTTAAAAGGCAATTTCTAAACTGCAACTGTGCCTTCATTTTTAATATTTCAGAGACATACTATGCATCAATGTAGGTCTGTGTCTTGTGATTCTCACAATATAAAGCTCTTCGGTGTAGGATTTATAATTTTTAAACTACACCGTTTGAAGATGGCAACCGCCAGTGAAGTGAGCAAGTTGGAGCAGTTTGTTTTTAACCGCTCTTCTCTGCCCTTGTTGTAGAGTGAGTTGCCATAGGAACCCAGGTGTGTGAACAGGCAGCAGAGTGACCAAGGCTAGACTGTGAGCTGAAAAATAAAAGCTGAAATGCATTTCTCACTCTATCAAGCTTGCCATGTGCACTTTTGAAATTTGATCAATCAATTGGTTAGTGTAATGTTTACTATCTTTACTCCCTCCAAACACTCCACACAGTTACTCTGCCCACTCCATAAAGTTACTCTGCCCAGTCCAACCTTTTCACAGCCACTCCAACCACACAACAGTTACTCCAGTTGTAGACTACTGGTGGAGGCAAGAACACTTCACACAATTTCCCCAGAAATTGGAGCTTTTCTAGTTTAGATATACTTTTTTAAAGTATTTGTCCTTACATTTATTTTTGCTATTGCACTGTTCTGGTTATTTTCTACGGCAGGTTACCTTTGTATTTTAGAGCAAGTAATTTGGCCCAATGACTCATCAATAAAATACATCATTCTATAATAGAGTTTAAAAGTAACAATGAGGAAGAAATGTTTACTCACAATTGTTTGTACATATAAATTGTCAAAAATAATTTACTTACCGTATATACTCGAGTATAAGCCGAGTTTTTCAGCACATTTTTTTTGTGCTGAAAAACGGCCCCCTCGGCTTATACTCGAGTCAACGTCTGCAGGGGGCTGCTGTCTCTTACCTGGCTCTGGTCCCACGACGATCTGGTCCAGGAAGCGCGGCTGTTCCTTCATTCGGTTCGTCCACTGGATGTTCGCGCGGCTGCTCGTCTCCGCCTTCTCACCGGTGATTGGCCGCCAGAACTGTAGCTCAGGAAAGGCACACAGGCGGCCAATCACCGGCGAGGAGGCGGAGCTGAGCGGCCCCGCGAAAATCGAGTGAAGGAGATGCAGGTAAGTGTGCCGTGCTTAGGTGCTGCTGCAACCACATATGCTGGCTGCAGCAGCACCATACTGGAACAGGGGTCAGCAAGTGTCAGTGGGAGGAATAGTGCCCCATCATTGGTGTCACTGATACCAATGATGGGGCATTATTCCTCCCACTGACACCAACGATGGGGCACTTTTCCTCCCCCCCACTGACACCAATGATGGGGCACTATTCCTCCCCCCCCCCACTGACACCAATGATGGGATACTATTCCTCCCACTGACACCAATGTTGGGACACTATTCCTCCCACTGACACCAATGATGGGACACTATTCCTCCCACTGACACCAACAATGGGGCACTGCTTTCCCCCCCCCACTGCACACTGCCACTGATACCAATGGGGCACTATTCCTCCACACCCCCCACTGACACCAATGATGATGGGATACTATTCCTCCCACTGACACCAATGATGGGGCACTATTCCTCCCACTGACACCAATGATGGGACACTATTCCTCCCACTGACACCAATTATGGGGCACTATTCCTCCCACTGACACCAATTATGGGGCACTATTCCTCCCCACTGATACCAATGATGGGGCACTATTCCCCCCCACTGATACCAATGATGGGGCACTATTCCTCCCACTGATACCAATGATGGGGCACTATTCCTCCCACTGACACCAATGATGGGGCACTATTCCTCCCACTGACACCAATGATGGGGCACTATTCCTCCCACTGACACCAATGATGGGGCACTATTCCTCCCACTGACACCAATGATGAGGCACGATTCTTCCCACTGGTGTTCCCACCCTCGGCTTATACTCGAGTCAATATTTTTTCCCAGTTTTTTGTGGTAAAATTAGGTACCTCGGCTTATATTCGGGTCGGCTTATACTCGAGTATATACGGTATACATCTTTTTTTTTTTCAAAATGTCATAAAAATATAAAATAATGAAAAATGTGATCAAATCTCCAAAGCACCAAACGATCGTGTGTACAAATCCAAATCCATGTTGATGTCTACTTCAACATCCCTATCAATGCCTTTTGCAGTATTATATACGGAGTTTGACTCCACTACCTTTCTTTACTTGGTTTGCCCTGAGGACTCATGATTTGACAGTACTGTTGGGCATGATGTTCGAGTCAAACATAAGTTCAACTCGAACATCAGCCGTTCGTGTGTTCAGCGAACACATGAACGTTAAGGGCACTCAGTGGGTTGTTTGCCCACTGCACTCAACAATGCGCTGTGCACTGACAGTGCATTGTGATTTCAAAGTATGTGGTGAAGCGCTCAACTTATAATTCCCTAGTGAAATACACAAATCATACCTCAAGTAATACAAATAATAACAAATAAATATAAATCAAACTAGTGCAATATCTTCATATACATAAAGAATATATATCCCTGGTGATATAGTGAAAACTTATATCTCTTAAACTGTGTAGAAAGTGAAATACAATGATTAGAATAAATAGTGATACCACACTGTGCAAAATAATGGCAAAGTGTTCAAATTAATGTCACTCCACTTGCAGTGCTCTTCGTGAAAATCTTGACGTGACTCCCCTCAATAGCAGAAATGCCCCCTCACCTTCCACATTCGACCCTTGCGGGTCACAGAGCTTTTTATATATATCTCTCTCTGTTAGATGTCCTCCACTGCCTCCACCGACCATGATCCACCTCCAGGCAGTAAGTACCTCTCAATTACTCCCCTCATACACCGAACTTTGCCAGGTAAAACCTCTCCTCCACTGCCACCTCCGACCAAGGTCCTCCTCCAGGCAGTAAGTAATATCCAATACCCCTCACACAATGGACTCAGGCTTTTTTTATAGAACGACAAAACAGACCTAGCTGCCGCTCTCCTCCAGCTCCCATTGTGTGAGGGGTATTGGATATTACTTACTGCCTGGTATAAAGAACAGGTGATAGCAGCTTACTCACAGGTTCTGTGGAGCGCAGGGGGATTTTTGTATTTTATTTAGTTGTGATTGGCCAAAGCAATGCACCTGACAGCGTTTTTTTTTTCTTTTTTTGGGTTGGCGGTGGCGGTGGGCATCGTGATTGACGTTGGATCCACTTCAGGGGACATTTCTTTGGTTTTTGTTTTTAATAAAGGTCAAAGACTGTCTACTATTTTTTACACTCCACTTTTTTTTGTGCATGAGTAGTAGCACCATGTACCCCATACTCATTCACATGGGGGGGGGGTCTGTTAAAGGGGGCTTCCATATTCCGATAAATCCCCCACCTGCAGACCCCCACAAGCA